TAGTGGATCCATGGAAAGTACCTGGTAGGTGGGACGGAGGGCTTCTTTGATGTAGTCATTACGATTTTGTATCACGATACCCCCACCTTTATCTGCCTGACGGATGGTGATCTGCTCATTTTTGGTCATTTGTTTGAGTGCTTTTTTGTTCTGAAATGGAACAAATTGGTTTTACTCTCGGTTTTATTATTTATGGTAGGTGCCTTTTTTTATTGCATAACTTGACAAATTCAGAATATGTGACTAGGTGGGTTTAAATGTGTGGGCCTGTGGTGCCTGTGGAAGGATGTGGTGCTTGCTTGGATGAGGGTCATGGGGTTGGGTGATGGCATGTTTCGGCGTCCCCAGGTGGGGTTGGACTCTCTGTGTTGGGCACAGGTGGTGGAGGATCCTGTGCAGTATAATCATTGATCATTGTTTTGTTGTTTTTTTCCGTGTCTCTCTTCCTTTTGTATTACACTATACACACGTCGCATACCCCGGCCTGCACTCACTAGGAGCTGCACACCTATGCAATAAACCCAGACCCCCCCGGAGTGCACTTAAATCATTGGACTTCTCTTCTTTAACTTTTCAGAGATTGTTAGTCACTTTCTTACTCTAACATTGGTTCTGTCTGATGTTTAGGGTAATGTTTCTGTAATAACCGACTCTGCTAGTTAGTTCCATCCCACAGGGAGCTGGCTCTGATGGCGTATCCAGTTGGGGTACAGTCGTTGCTCTCACAAGTACACTCAAGTTTTAATTGACCATACTCAAGGGAACCTCAGGTCTTCCAAAATCCTAGCAATGCCTCTAAGTTATCTGCTATTTTCTGCTGCCAGGTAGTCATGTTAGAAATGGCAATGGCAGTAGTAATAATCACAGGCACCACCATTTCAAACAAATTTACATTTCAAACAAATTAGGGTATCTAATATTTTAGATTTCTGGAGGAAATATAACAGCTCTGCTTGTTGTGATAATATAAAACGAAATAAATAGCTAAATATGCATTTATAAAGAAATTGTATTATTTATTTGAGCCCCCCTCCTGTATGATGGCAAAGACATTGAATAAAAAGTTTAAAAAGTTAAATAAAATAAATGTAAAAATACCAAAAAAAGGACCCCCCCCCCCCCC